ACAATGGAAAACTATACAACAGTTAAAATGAAAAGAATATTTATCAAGAACCTGATGTTGAGTTACATAGTCAGCAAAATATACACAATGATACCATTCAAAAATTTTTAAAAGATACTAAGTGATACTGTCTATCATACACACATATATACATACACATGCACAAACGTTGTAAAAGCAAAAGTAACTAAAGGAATGATAAACATCAATTTCAGAGATGGCAGGAAAAATGGCTGAGAGGGGCTTTGGTTATTTTTAGTTCTCTTCAAAATGATAAAAGAGTACGGTAAAAATTAAAATTGAATAAATCTGGGAGATTGATATCTTTTTCTTAATTTTCTACATTTTTCTGTATGTTAAAAAATATCACAAAGTGGTAAAGTGTTTAAAATTTTTTAAGAGGAAGATTCAAGTATGCTTAAAACAAGAAGTTGGGAAATATCGTAATTTATTCTTAGTCTCCATGTAAGTCTTTTACATTTCCCCTTTTGTAACATTTTCTAAAATTAGGTTCCCATTTTGTCCATAATTTACCTTTCCACTTGGTCAAATTCCCTTTTATTTATTTTAATAATTTTATTATTTTTTTAAATTTTATTGGGGAACAATGTTTTTTTTCCAGGACCCATCAGCTCCAAGTCGAGTAGTTGTTTCATTTTAATTCTGGAGGGTGCAGCTCGGTGGCCCATGTGGGGATCGAACCAGCAACCTTGGTGTTATGAGCACTGCCCTCTAACCAACTGAGCTAACCAGCTGCCCCAAATTCCCTTTTTAAAGCACTCCTGGATTTGACATTAACTCAGATATTAGGAATAGCAGGTACTCCAAAATTAGATCTTGCTAAGAATGGAACTAGAAGTAATGTTTTATTTTTTAAAATGTGTGACATAAATGTTTTATAGCAACATTACAAAATGTTTTGTGATGGTTCATTTTGTGTCAACATGACTGGGCTAAGGGATGCCCAGATAGCTAAGTAGAATGCAATACTACTATGTAAATATCACATTATTTCTGAGTGTGTCTGTGAGGGTCTTTCCAGAAGAGACAACATCTTAATCGGTAGAATAAGGAAAATCACTCTCACTAGTGTAGGTGGGCCTCATCCGATCACCTGAGGGACTGAATAGAACAAAGAGGCAGTAGAAGGGCAAATTTGCTCTTTTCCCTTGAGCTCAGACATCCATCTCCTTCTGACCTGGGACACTGGCAGTCCTGGTTCTAGCCCTTCAGTCTTGGACTGAATTATACCACCTTTCCTGTTCTCCAGCTTGTGATAACAGATCATGGAACTTCTTGGCCTCCATAATTTGGTGAACCCGATTTCTTTTTTATATGTCTATCTATCTATATCTGTTGTCTGTCTATCTATCTATTTATTTCACTTCTATGGAGAACCGTAATACATGCTTAATATGTACAAAAAAAAGAAAACCGAATCAGCTACAAGTATATTCCCACACCACACAAACCAAGCAACTATTTTCATATGCCTACTATATTTACAAAATTGTAAGCTGTAAGAAGCACCATTATTTTATGTATCTCAAAGAAAAATTCACTGCCATTTAAACTACAACACAATGCTTTCTTACTGGATTTGTATATACACACACACACACACACTTTACCTTTTAATCAGTGATTATTTAATGGTGGAATATTCCATCTAGTAACTATATCCCAAGGTGCTTGACTATTCCCACATTTTATATTTTCTTGCACTCATTTTCTGCCATTATAAATTATGTTGCAATGACTATTTTCCTACAGCTTGTGGTAAACATTGCTAGTTGCCTATCCCAAATCCATTTCCTTCCCTTGCTTGCTAACAGAAGCCCATTTCTGTCGGGTTGGTTATGGTACATCTGAGAGGCCAATAATCCTACTTGACTTCCCTTATAGGTAGTGTAGACCCATGACCCAGTTCTGGCTAATGAGACCTAAGGGAAGGCTGTTTCAGGGATACTGTGAAAGCTTTTGCTTTCCTAGTAAAAGTCATAAATGTTGCAATGCCCCTTCTTGTTGCCTTAAACACAGAAGAAATGCCTGTGAAGGAAAAGGTGTTATCACCATTGTTAACTTGCCTGTGGCCACACAGCTGTCTGTATCAGCATTTGAATCCAGAGCCTGGCTTTCTCAAGCCAAGAATGACAAAGCAGAAAAGGAGCCAAGATCCTGAGGGCATCATTAGGCAGACCAGCGACTGTCTACTTCCAGACTTGTCATGCCAGACTCCAATTTGGTTAGACTATTTTTAGATGCATATTCTGTTTCTTGCAGCAGAACAAACACATCTCTTGCCATATTTTAGACCATTTTCTATGACAAGACTCTCAGAAGTAGGTTTGAGTCAAAGGTTAAGACTAATTTTTAGGCTCTTGGTGCATACCACAAATTATTTTCCCTAAGAATTATGCTGAGCACTTGTGCTAACATCTGGTATTGCTGGCTAGAAGAAGAGGGTCCCATCTAGCACCCTGCCCGTAAACAAGTGGGAGAGCGGTTAAGGTAAGACCACAACTCCTTTGGTGTATTTTCACATCAACCCTTGCCTTGGTGTAACTGCATTACCTCTAATTTAAATAATTTCACAGGAGTGAGTCTTAAGGCACCTTTATTCTCTGGCCTCAAATATTTTGTTTCTTATACAGTGACGTAAGTAAAAACACATACACTAGAAAAGATTCAGAAAGTGGAAAGAAAAAAAGCAGAAAGAAAAAAAAAACCTTGCACACAATCCCAACACCGAAGAAAAACAAGTTTAACATTTAGCATATTTCCTCTTGAGCTTTTATTATTTTCCATTTTCTCACAGGTAATCGGATTATACTATAAACTTTTGTACTTTGTTCTTTTCATTTATAAGCATTTCCTATTATAAACATTTTGATGGCTGTATAATATTCCATCATATGGATAAATCATATATTAATCATTTTCATATTGAGATTGAATTGACAAAACAATGACAACGAAATTTGCAGAAGGAAATAAGATTACCACATAATGAGTGCCCTATACAAATGTATGTATTTAAACAGTACAGAATTAGCTGTGCTTTCTGTTCTTGCTTGCATTTTTAAACAAGTGCAGGCCAAAGACTGTACGAGGAGAGAAAAGGTCATTTCCTTCTAAGAAAAAACGCTCCATGTCAGCATCTTACCTTCCTATTCATATTCAATATCTTTTTAAAATCTCATACAGCACATTCTAAAACTATGTAAGCAATAGTTAACTTTCAGTTTTATTTTTATATAATGAAAGGATGTCATTTGGTAGAACAGTTTTAAGAAGTGTTTCTCCAAAGTAGTTTGAAGAACAGAATATTCCAGCTGATTAAACATTCCGGTTAACACCGAGTTGCCATATAACACTCTACGAAGAGTATACATTTTCAAAGAATTAGACTGTGAAGTAATGAAAAAATTTATGTTAACTATAATTTTTTTAAAAAATTGTACCAACTTTTAAACCGTAACGTTTTCTTTCATGATTCAGGAATATATTTCCTACTGCTGCCCCGTTCATCCCAAGCATGTTTGTCAGCAAACAGGCATTTCACCCTCCTGCCAGCTGAACTGCCCCTTCGTCAGGCTCTGCCTGTTTTGATCACTCTATAAGTGGCCTTGTGTTATAGAGGCATTTTGTTAAGTCTATTTCCTTCGTTGGATTTACAGTTTCCACCTGAAGGAACACTGTGTTTGCAACACACACAGCACCTAGCAGAGCTTTGCACATAGTGAGCATTCAATATACATTTGTGTATTTCCAGCTAGTTCTCCCCCCACATTACTGAGGGGTAACACACATACCTGCAGCAACTGCAATTGTCATTTCAAGTAAATTGAGCAAAAGGTAAAATAAAAACTTAACAGATATCTAATATTTGATGAGAAATTTCCTGAATGCTTATTTTGTGGCAAATACCATGCTAAATGCTTATAACCATCGGTTCTCAAAATTCTCAAAAGCATCAGTGAGGTAGGTTGGATTATATTTACAGAGAGAAGATGGACAGTTAGGGACTAAGTCGTGTTTCAAATGTTTGCTGGGCACGGGATAAGTCAGGGAACAGACTCTGCCTGTCGTGCAGCTTATTTTCTCCTGGAACTTGCTACGATCACCTACATAACTGTACATTAGCATTCTAGATGGGACCCTGGCGACTTCTTCAAGGTAAAAGTCACCCGGGAAGGTCACCTTGTCTTTGTTGGTGGCATCCAACCGTGTGAAGATCTGATCTTCAAATTTATAGTCAACAGAAAATATTCTCAAGAGATTCACAAAATGATATAAGGAATCAGAAATAAGATACTGTGGGATTAAGGAAATAAAAGTTAAGACTGCACCCTTGTAAGCCAGGTATTTTTCTATCTTGCATGTAAACCTCAGTTAAGAGCAGGGGGAAGCCACAGCAGAACACAAGTCAGAACGCAGGCTGGACTTTGGCCGCCTGCCATCTAAGTGGGTGAGGAAGTCTAGCGAAGGACGGAATTTCTAGGCACCATGGCAATTCATGCAGCAAAGCTATGGACTTAGCTGCTATGCCATTCTGAATTTTATTTACTTCTCTTGAGCTAGACACATGAGGAGGTAACTCAGTTCAAAAATGCAAAAAAGAAAAGAGAAAGAGCAGTTTTCGGTCTGAAACATTCAAATTTGCATCAGACATTTTCTATGAAACACTGAAGTTGCTGGGGTTGACTGAGAGCTCCCTTCACTAGGCCAGTGCAATTTAATCATTAAACTTAATGTTCTTCACAAGCAAACTCCAGTGATCTGGGGCATCTTGGGGAAAGTCACAAAGTTTCATTCAAATAAAACTGAAGTTGAACTCAGAAAGTGAACGGAAGATACTGGAAAGGGAATACGAAAAGTGGTTTTGGAAGCTGCTTTCTAATTCTGAGTGGACAGAAAATTACTTTTTACTTTAAAGTAATATAGAACAATTTTCTCATCTACCACGATATAATCTCAGAAATCTGAGGTAAAAGGCACCAAGCTTTCCAAATGCAACGACTTGCAAAGAGAGAGAACACAGCTTTTGTGTCCCCTGAAATTGACTCAAGCATACATAGGGAAGAGAGACCAACGCAGCCACTCAACACATACAAGAGTACCTATTTGATATTAGAAAACCTTTATGGACACAAGGCAAACAGTGGGCTGAAAATATTACAAGATGAAAAAAGGCTAAGGAAACCAATTGGATTTCTTTTTCATCTACAGAAGAGTTAGCAGCCCAAATGATGATCTAAAGACACTCCAAGATTACTATTTATACTTAAGGCCATTTAAAAAGCGAGGTTTTCATCTGGCATTCAAAACAAATATTTATAACTTTTGGATGGACTAAAAGAGCTAAACTGTCTACCCAAAATCTGTACAGCAGGGACCTGTTTTTAGCAGGTAAGCCTATTTACAAGTAAGAACCTCTTACTCTTGTAACATTGTCCTGTTTTAAAAGAATATGTAACTCCCATCCCCTGGAGAGTAAGTCTGTAAGGCCTCTGTGACCCCATAGAAATATGGACCTATCTCTACTACAGAACTATTTACAGTGCACATAAATACACATATACACACCTGTGTACACACCCCCCAAATAGTCTGAGAATGTCTCGAGTGAGGGGTTATGGTTATTTTTACATCTATAGTGACAATTAATAGGCACTCAATAATTTATTCTTTGCATGAATGCTAAATGAAAACAATTTTACAACACCACTACTATTTACATTTCAAACACTCCCGCCATTACCCATCTCCAAAATAAAAACACCCAAACTGCTACCAAATTTACTTTGGTTTTCACAATATAGTGCTTCTGGACTTTTTCATGTAAATGAATATTCTTGATTTACTAATTTTCAGAGAAATGACACAAATTCAGCATTCTCCTTGGAATGGGAAACTTGCTTGTCCAGGTTACTTCATTCTTTTTCTCTTTTTCAAAAGTGCATCTCGTAGCGCCAACTGCAAGATAAAAAAAAAAAATCTAAACATGATAACATTTGGGTACACCATTATACTAATTTAGTTATATGGAAGTGTACCAATATGGAATCAGAGTTGATATAAATCATCCTGAAAAACTACAAATAGTGAAATCTTCCAAAACGCATCAAATCTGTAACCAGGCTGGGGCCTCCTTACTGCTAGGAAGGAAACAGGCAAAGCTCTTGACTGCTGGTCCCACCTCTTGATAAAAAAGCCCAAAACAGGAGCCTGGCTTTACATCTAAAGGTTTAAATTTTATGATTTTAAGTTACTGACTCCTTGCTTTAGTTCATACCCAAGTCTTGGTATTTCTTTGTAGACAGGCAGAGTAACTAGAACACTTAAGGTACAGAAAAAAATTAACAAGTTGATTTTAACCTAATTTGTATGGCTAAGGTGGTATTTCTCAAACTCATCTATAAATGTCTTATTTTCTCATCTGTATAATTGGTTTGATCCCAGTTTGTTCAGTTTGTTCATATTGTTGTATGCTGATTAAATTAACATGCTGACAAGGCACAAAGCCAGGCTTCTCTATCATGCCAAAAAACCAGGAAGTACAGCGTGCAGGAACACCCTTAGCTAAAATGTAGCAAGGTCATAAAAACCTCATGAATGAAGCAAGGCCTACAAACTATTACTATTTCCTCACCCATAAACTCTTACAAAGGGCTGGTGAAGGATAAACTAATATAATTAATCAATTCAACTATAAATTTAAATTGGCAAGATTCAAAATCTTAAATGGCACCTTTCCTTTCCACTCAATTTCAACTTCAAAATGCTGTCACTTTACTACTTACATAACGTTAAAAACAGCTTAGAGCTAGAAAGATTACATAAGCAGACAGGCAGACTTTAAATGGCACCTTAATTCAGTTAATACTGACTTGGTTCCCACCCAGACAGCACTGCCCTGGAAAGCTGGCCATTATGTTTAGGCCTGGAAGGCTCGTCCCTGACTAGTGTTGTAAACACTGGCTCAGAATGTGGAACTACTTTACCCTTGACCTGATTCCCTGGCGATTTTTCAGAATACAGTTGGATCGACTACAGTACACCCCCAGTAGAGGAAGACATTAAAACATAAATTTGTTTTACTAGAGTGAATTACTGAACTAAGCAAGCCCAACACAGAACCATCAAAGACCAAAAATGGATAAAATGAAATCCCAAAGGCCTATAAATATAAAGGCTTTGCAAAAAGGCTCATATAGAAGGATCAAAACAACAGAACTACTTAGTTTTCACTGCTTTACTAAAACTGTCTCTGAGATACTACCACACAATCATTGCTTTTCAAAGAAGTGCCAGGTATATAACAGCCCTCAAAAATTCTTATTCAGCTAATTTTGATATTATATTTCATGTAAGAAATGTCAGAGAATTCTAGCAAGGGAATGGCCCTTAGAGATCATCTAGCTTGCTGCACCCATTTACTTAGAGAGAAAAACAGACTCCCCTTTGGTCGCACAGGTGCATCTCAACCAAGTCAGGTCTAGGATTTACATGCCCTGACTACCTTCCGCCTCTCCAATGACACTTCCTATTTATCCTAAGACACACATAACGCAAGGTCTTTAGAAGTCCACCCCAAACGTAAAGGAGTCTTAGAATGACAACACTATTCTAGCCAATCAGGCTTCAAGTTGAACTCACCTGCTTTTCTCGGAAGGAACGCTTATTTTTTGAGCGGACATTATGGCTATAGCGCATCATCATGAAGTTCTTCTGTTTTTTCTTCTCTTTATTTGTAGAACTGGAAAATGGATTCATTTTGGTTTTCTTCCTCACAAACTCTTTTCGGTCTGTCTTTCCAGCCTATTAGCAAACACACACACAAACACTTCGTGATTTATCTAATCAATATAAAGTCTCCCCTGTGCCAGGTGCTCTACTGGATGGCCAAGATGAATGGAGCGCAGTCCTTGCTCCCCAGTACCTCAGCCCAGGGGAGAAAGGAGCATGGTATATTATAATGGGGCAAGGGGAGCTCAGTGGAAGAAAAGGTCATAACTCAGTCTGGTGAGGTCTGAGGAGCTTCCTAGAAAGGGACACCCATCAGCTGTTTTGGCAGGATGAAGGCACTCATGGTGAGGGGAGGGAGCGGAAGGGTAGAGCATTTCAGGAAGTAGGCATAGTGTACGCAAAGGTGTGCAGCAGAAAGAACATAGGTTTTTAAACTTTATCTAAACAGGTTTCAGTAGAAATGATGTGGAGCCAGTATGGGATGGTGCCTAAAAGAGGTAATGGTGCAGAAAACGAAGCTGGAAATACGAGTATGAGCAGGGTGCAATCCCAAACAGCTACAGTCCTTGCCAGAGGCGACTCTGGCTTTTCATTAATGACTGTAAATACTCCCCTGCTTTTCTAACAGCTTTGATAAATGTAACGAGCCTCCCTGAAATCACAAACATGGAATAGTGCTTTGCTGTGCTCTGCAACAGGTTTGAATGGCGGTTACATGGCTATCGAGTTGTTAAGACTCATCTAACCGAATAGTTCACATCTATGCATTTTATTCTATGTTCATTATACCTTTATTTAAAACATTAAAAAAACTGTCGTTCTGTGCCTATACAAGTTCTGGGTCACATTTCATTCCTTTGCTTTCTGTTGAAAGGACTAGAGAAAGGCATGCCTCGCTCACCATTGCAGTTGCCAGTCTTGTCTCCTTGTCAGACTTTGGCTTTTTATGAAGGCGTTCAATGTCCCGAAGAGAAAGTAATTCGCCCCTGGGGTGAAGGAATAAATATAATATGAAACAAGGGTGGAAATCCTTTCCCTAATACTTTAATTATCATGTGAGCTGACTGAAGGCCTGGTGTATGTGCTGTTTTACCTGGACTCTTCGTCACTGTCTATTTCGATATATTTCCTCTTTGGGGCTTTCCCGGGGGCAGCGTCGAGTTCTTTCCTCATTTGGGCCAGGCGGATTTTCTGGAAGTCTTCCTGAGTTAAAACTCGGCTAGTGCTGACGGCTGCCGCCTTGGCCTTCCGCTCCTCCACAGGCATGCTGTTCAGCCTGTTGGACTGGAGAGCACACAACAGAGGCTTACATGGCTCCAGGCTTCAGCGAGAGCTTCGCCCCCAACGGGGCCCAGCGTAAATTAAGTCTCAATCCACATCAGAGTGATGAGGCCCTGGTAGAAGGAAATCTCAAGACTTACGATTTCTTGCTGCTCTTCATCGGAGGAGTGGTGCACATCAACCCATTCGCCATCGTCATCCTCCTCATCGAGACTGGCGCTTTCCCACCCATCTGTGTGAGAAACACACACCATTAGGATGCTCGCTTTACGCTGGGAACTCATGGTAAGTCGAGATAAATCAAGCCAAAGAAAAGTAAGGTTATGAACTTCAAACAGGTGCTCTCCAGACCAAGAACTGAGCGACATTTAGTGGTAAGTAAGCTGTATCTGTTTAATTAATTTAAAGAATGAGGAATAGGCACTTACCAAGTGTCTACACTGAGCCAGAACTGCACACTTTTTCTAATCCTTAGAAATCAACAGAAGAGGAACAGGCTCTCGAGTTAAGAAACCTGCCCAAAGCCATACTGTTAGAAAATGTAGCCTACACTGAAATCATGAAAACCGTGTCTGGCTCTAGAGCCCATGTTCTTTCCACCAAACTGTCCATGAAAACTGAACTGTACATTTATTTTGGCCATGCAGCAAGTTATCTAACTCATCTAAGCACATTAATACATGTCTTTCGAAACAGAAACAGTCATTCAGAGAACTGAAGTGGAAGACTTTGGATGTAAAGGAACCTTGTAGACCCCTCAATAAAGAGGTATTAGGAGTTCTGAATGGAGCTACCACAGTAAGCTTTCAAAACCACAGATACCTGCAATTTCAGTGGTTCTCCATGTTCTACAGGACAGTGTCCCAGCTCTTTGGTATGGCATATACACAGCCACTCATGATAAGGTCTCAACTCAATCTCTGATCTGATATTTTGCTATATTCCACCTTGTAGCCTATCCTGCAATAGTTTCTGAAATCCTTCAGGATTTTGCTCAGTTTGCCTAGAAAGTCTCCATTATTCTACCATTCCTCACTAATAATTCAAGATACAGTTCATGGGTCACCATCTCCTTGAGGCCTCTTTTGAACCTCTGAGGTAGATCTGACCTCTCTCCTGACCACTCCAATTATAAATCCTATTAACACTTTATTGTTCAGCTCTTTATGAAAGGCACTAAAGAGCAGGGACCATATCATTCATCTTTGCATTGATAGTGACCAGCCCACAGCTAATGCTTAAGAAAGCTTTGTTGAAACAATAAATGAATAAATGAAATGAATGAACAGGAAGAAAACAGGATGCCAGCAACTAATGTAATAAAGGCTAACCCTAGAAATCAGAATGGAGTTCCTCAAGCATTCTTTAATAAGTTTAACAAGCATTCTCCTTCAACAGGAGAATTTTGGAGGATTGCTAAGGACTAATCTTCATCATTTTTTTTCCAGGCAATAAACAAAAACCCATTATCTTTCCCAAGTGCCCAGCATACCCTTGATAAGGGGCAGCTTACCTGGAGGACATGAAAAGACGTCTCCTACACTGTCATGTAAGTTCCCTAAGAGCAAAAACTATGCCCATTTGATCCCCAATGCTTGTAACAGTGCATGGCAAAAGTCACTGTTCAGTAAAAATCTCATGACTGAATGTTCAAACAGCATAAAGATTCCAAGGTCAATAGAGCTATAGAAATGATTTTGTTCTTAATAATGGTGAAATAAAAATGAACCTTCATCGTTTTCAGCATTCTCTTCTTCTTTTTCAACTTCCAGAATTTCTGCTCCTGGAATGTAATCTTTAGCATCTAGTTCTCCATATTTTTGCACTCTTGCTTCTACGGAGGCCTCTGTAGGCTTACCCTAAAGGAAAGGAAATTGTTTTAAATAAGGTCCTTCGATCGCAAAACATTATTCATGAAAAGGATTCTCTATGATTATGAATTTAGAAGGGAGAGAATCACAAAAAAATGACAGTAATCAAATGACAGTAACAGTCCACTTGGGTCAAAGTAAATCCCTCAGTTAGAACTCTGCTCACTATTTCCTTGTTCTCTTCTGACCCAGGCCAGGAAACTGGCAGTTATTAAAAAATAACTGGTCCAAGTCTTAAGCCTTGAGATCACCATCTGTCTTCCTGTCACAGACACGCATCTCCCTTCTCTCCCAACTCCAATGGCATCAGCTACTGACTCATCTTTGAGATTCCAATCTGTTAATGAACCAAAAGCTTTCAAGGTGAAACAGCCTGACTAGTCTAGAAGACTTAGTCATCATCACAGAGTACGTGCCAATTATAAAATATTTAAAGCAATGGTATTCAATCAGTTGTATTCTGAACTTAAAGAATAGAACTACACATATCTCCAATACTCATAATGGAAGCATCACAGATACTAAAATGTAAACTGTAGGAAATTACTCTCATCATCTGAGTCCCCAACCTTTAGATCAGCGGTTCTCAACCTTCCTAATGCCGCGACCCCTTAATACAGTTCCTCATGTTGTGGTGACCCCCAACCATAAAATTATTTTCGTTGCTACT